ACGCCACTGAAGGCCTAGGTGTAAAATGCACGGCCCGCCACTGGATTTGTGCCTATAATTATTAAAAATAATAATTGGAAGATCAATGTACCTCATTCACAGAAAGTTTCAGGGACGTTTGTGAAAATGTATCATAATACTCAACATTTTGTATAGCAATTGTCATATCAGGGTTCACTTTTATGTTCTTTCGTATTTCTCTGTTTGTATGGGATCCTGAAAATTAACTGTTTTTACTTTTATTTCAGAGTTGATTGAAGAAAATGAGGAGAGTGAAGAATTGAGTGAAGTTGAGGAGAAAAATCATGTCAAAACCAGAGAAAAATCTTTGAGTGGCTCTCAAAAATTATGCTTTTATACATTTTTTTTTTATGAATGTATTTATTTTTTATACATTTTAACTTCCGGGCGCTGCTCGTGTGGCGACTGGCAGAGCTGCGTGTGTGCTTCATTGTTTGTACGTTAATGAGTCTGTTAAGTGGATTGTTTTAAGTATTTAAAGTGAAGATGATAACTCTGTGGAAGATTGTGCGTTTGCTGCTGCTGTTGATCAATTGGGGAAATGTGATCTCAGTTTTGGCGCATGGTGGAGTCTTGGTGGAGAGCGTGCCAGTGATGACCAGGGAGTTCCTGTTGGGCTTGCGTTCGAACGCCGTTCCTGTTGATCACGCTTGGAATATTCCTGGAGAATTAATTTGGCCTTCTGCGAATTCTCGAGGTCAAAAAAGGAGAGTAAGGAGGAAACGCGGGAATCGAGGTGGAGTTCGACGCAGACTAAAGAGGGCTCAAAGATTTACTCCGTTGCCTGGAATACTTGTAGGCAATGTACGCTCGCTTCGACATAAATTGGATGAGTTACAAGCCAATGTGAGTTTCATGCAGGAATACAGAAACACGCATATAATGGCATTCACTGAAACTTGGTTGGATGACTCCGTTGCTGATAGCACTTTACGGATCTGAAACTTGGTTGGATGACTCAGTTGCTGATAGCACCTTACGGATCGAGGGTTTTGGAACACCTATCAGGCTGGACAGAGATAAAGATTGGGAAAAGAACGTGGAGGAGGTGTGTGTGTTTATATTAAGGAAAGCTGGTGTAATACAGCAATAGTACGATATAAGATTTGTAATTCAGATATTGAACTAATTGCGGTTTCGGTACGCCCTTTCTATCTTCCTCGTGAATTCCCTCAGCTGTTTTTTGTAGTAGTATACATTCATCCACGTGCCAAGACTGATATGGCATTTGAAACTGTCAAAAATGTCCTGGATAAACTGGATAATATATCCCCAGATGCACCGAAATGCAGTCTGCTCCCACAGCCAAACTCTACCAGCCCAACCGGAATGCCAAATTGATTAGTATTTCATGCTCGATGACCGACCACAAGACTTTTTGCATTCTGCACAGTGCCTCAGCGATGCCTTGTGGGCAACACGCAATGATGGTTACCATTTAGGGAGGATGGGTATAATGTTCAGTGCATCTGCAAAGACATCAACACTGTTCCAAAACCTAGTAAGCTGCCTCACTATGTCATAAAGGACTGATTTGTTGAGCAAAATGCAGCAAATTTATGCAGTACAAATACCACTCCTTAGTAGTGTAGCACATTGCTGCCTCCCTGCCATATGGCATTATGTTTTTTTTTGGAACGAAGCAATAGCATTCTACAGTTAAAAGGTCTGATCTTAATGAACAGGTGCACACCGTTTCTAACTATATTACTTTATGTGTTGATTCTGTCATACCTACAAAAAAGATCACCTTGTATCCCAATAATAAACCTTGGGTTACGAAGGAGTTAAAAGGTATACTGAATATGAAGAAGAGAGTATTTCTCTCAGGAACTAATGAGGAGAAAAAACAGATAAACAGGGACGTTAAAAGGGCAATAAAAACTGCTAAAAATAATTATAAAAATAAGACTGAGGATGTGTTTCTGCAAGGTAATCTTAAAGCAGCCTGGAAAGGAATTAAGAGTATGGCTGAAGTTAGTACATGGGTATCAAATCAACAAATGCCTATGGAGAATTATGATGCTAATTTTCTTCTATCTAATAAGTATAATTAATTTTTTTCTCGTTTTGATACATCTGCTGTAGGTGATGAGATGGCACTTTTTATAGATAATATTAACAAGATGGCACTTTTTAAAGATAATACTAGTTCTTCTAATAATTTTAAATTGAATCAATTAGATATATTGAAACAGTTGAAGGCTACACCGCTTAATAAGGCCCCAGGCCCAGATGGCATATGTGGTAGAACACTGAGTCACTGTGCTGAACAGCTTAGTGGAGTTCTCCACTTACTTTTTCAATCTTCTCTAGATCAAGGGTTGGTACCTGATTTGTGGAAGAGCTCAATTACTGTACCTATACCTAAAAAAGCAAAGTCAAAATCATTGAATGATTACCGTCCTATTGCATTGACTTCCTTGGTCATGAAGATTTTGGAAAAATAGATAAAAAAGTATGTGATGACAGTTGCTGGACCACTCTTAGACCCGTTGCAGTTTGCATATCGCGCTGGAAGAGGCGTAGAGGATGCAAAACTGTTTTTGTTGAATGCTGTCAGTCGACATCTGGAAAATAGTGGAGCCTTTGCGCGGCTTTTGTTTGTGGACTTTTCATCTGCATTTAATTTTTTGCAACCTATTATTTTAGGGCAAAAACTTATTAGTCAGTGACATGCTACATGGACTTCCTCTCTCTCACTGCCGAGTATTGTTCTGCATTTTTCACTCCCCAAGTGTTAAGTGTTAGCCTGAGCCATTCCGTGTTTTCTGTTTTCGGATGAAATTAGATTTGAATGTGTCAAAAACGAAAGAGATGATCATCAATTTTAGTAGGAAAACACTTGCACCTCAAAGGGTGGTCATTAATGACACACAGGTTCATGTAGTGGAGGAATACAAGTATTTAGGAACGATTATTGATAATAGGCTGAAGTTTGATCAAAACACAGATGCAATCATTAAAAAGTCAAATAAGTCAAATCTTGTGCTGAGGAAGCTAAATTCCTTTAATGTACAGAGAGTCATTCTCAGGACTTTTTATACTTTTTATAATTAAAGTATATTGTCCTTTTCCTTTATTTGTTGGTTTTCCTTATTGTCTACAAAGAACAAAAAATCGTTTGCAAGGTATTGTTAATATGTGCTCAAAAATTGTAGGTGTTCCCTTGCGAAGTCTTACATTTTATTATGAACAGCAAGTGATGAGGATGGCACATAAAATTATAGGAGACTGCACACACCCTTTGAATGATTATTTTGAGTGGATGCCCCTTGGGCGACGTTTAAGGTCAATTAGATGTTCCACAAACCGGTACAAATTTACTTTTGTGCCTGAAGCAATACGTTTATGTAATAAATCTAGTTGATTTAGATGATTTATTTAATTAATGATTTTTTTATTTGTTATTTTTATTTAAATTTGTTTCCCCCTTTTTATGTATTTGGTGTATTTTAAATATATGTATGTGAGTGTTAAGTGTTGTATATGTGAAGCACCACGAAAGTCTGAATTAATTGCCCCAAGGGGATTAATAAAGCTCTAAACTAAAACTAAAAAACGAAATAGCGACTAGTTTTGCAGCAAAGCTCATCTGGCTGTGTGTAGTGTAATGACCTCTTGCTCTTGCTGCATGAAGACGTTGTCTTGGGTTGTAAGAGTGCTCTCTTGTGTCTCACACAGGGCAGTGTTGTGTTACTATTACGCATGAAGAGCCTCTGAAAGATTAGCACACGAACAGAAGGGAAGCTTCTTACCGTTGTGTTAAAGTAACCACACCAAATAAAGAATATTGGTATTGTTATAAAGCACAGAACGGCACTGAAACCCTCAACAGGGGAGACATTTCAGTTACTTTTCAACACATGAGCGTCTGTAAGCCCTATACGGAGAGGACAGGACAGAAGCGTATGAGCTGTGAGTTAGTCACGTCACGCACTAAACCGCAAACGATGATGGAGCGCTTGTTTGAATGAGTGTGTTTGCTTTCCTCCAGCAGGTCTCTCTTTTGGATTTGAATCTGCGGGTGAGGTTTCATTTGCAGAACTGGCAAAGGGTTCAGGTGAATTAGCATTTTGCAAAAGAGGTGAGTCTGTGTTTACCCGTTTCTGTGTCTTTTACTTGATTCTCGTATTAAACCGTGCAGTCACATTCACAGGGCTTTCTACAGAGTTCTCTTGTAAGGCTGAAAAAAAAAACATTACATGGAAATGTTATTATAGATTCGGCATGTCTTCATGAAAGATTTGGACCAGAGCACGAGAGAGAAAAGGGTTTTTAGGGTTGTCTTGCTGGTGTGATGTCACTGCTGCTCTCATCAATGCCAGGCACACTAAATTATAAATTACATTGTGGTTTGTTTTCACCAAACATCTTCAGAACACAGTGACACACATTCTGCGCTTTATTTATTCTGTGCTTAAGTAGAAAACACTGGTTGTCATATGAGGTGAAAGTCTAATAGGTGTGTTCTGGTAATAATGTTTGCACTGCATACTGTTATTTGTATTCTAATCTAATTTCATCTTTGTTTGGCTTCTGAAAATGCTGTCCTAAAGCAGATCATAAGATCTTTTTTGTTTTTAAAGACCTATGCATAGCATCAGTTTTGGCGGGAAAAAATCACAAATTCCATGAAAAATTAATGATGACAGTTTCCATGAAGACTCACTCATTTCTGCATTTCATAATGTATTTCCTGTTTTCTCTGATGTTATGTTAGCGCTCAGCCCTGTTGTCTAAACCTTGTGACCAAGCTCACGTCTCATCCTGTAAACAAGCCGTTCATAATGTTTATTTTTGCATGTGTGTGTGTTCGTTGGCAGCATTAATATGAATTGGTATTATGAAGTTCTAGTATGATAGCATACTGCTGCTGTCAGCATTGATATTGTGAGTGTGCTGTTTTCATCATGTGTTTATTTCTGCAGATGATGATTTCTCATGGTCAGGCGCAGGAGCCACAGTCTTTGGAAGCACAGCGACACAAAATGAAGGAGAAAAGGCTCGCAGTGAAGCAGAAGAGGAGGGCAGTGATGAAGAGACGACTCATAATGAGGAGATCCACTTTGAGCCGATCGTGTCTCTGCCTGAGGTGAGTGTTTGCTGTGATGCTGGTAGCTGTGCTCCTCGTGTCTCTGGAGAAGTGTGACGTGTGCTGATCCTGCAGGTGGAGGTGAGGTCTGGTGAGGAGGACGAGGAGATCCTGTTCAGAGAAAGAGCCAAACTGTACCGCTGGGACCGCAAGCTCAACCAGTGGAAGGAGCGCGGCGTGGGAGACCTCAAGATCCTCTTCCACCCGCTGAAGAAGAGCTACCGCCTGCTGATGAGACGCGAGCAGGTGCTCAGAGTCTGCGCCAACCACAGCATCAGCCCGAGCATCGAGCTCAAGCCCATGAACACCTCGGCTAACTCTCTGGTGTGGACCGCCACCGACTACTCAGGTGCAGCCCTCGCTCCTCGCCTCACACACATCACCCTGCTGCCGCTGTCCTCACGTCTGTATGTTTGTCCACACAGAGGGAGACGGGAAAGTGGAGCAGCTGGCGGCCAAGTTCAAGACTCCAGAGCTGGCGGAGTCCTTCACACGAGCCTTCACAGACTGCCAGAGCCGCATGTCTCAGACTGACGCCGCTCAGACGTCTGCCGCCGAGGCGCTGTCTCGAGACTCCAACCCTGTGGTGTTCTTCGACATCACCGTAGATGACGAGCGTGCTGGGAGAGTCGTCATGGAGCTCTTCGCTCACATCCTGCCCAGAACGGCGGAGAACTTCCGGGCTCTGTGTACGGGAGAGATGGGCTTCGGTTACCGCCAGTCCGTCTTCCACAGGATCATCCCGGACTTCATGTGTCAGGTGAGGACGCAAGTTTTATCACGCACAGGTCTCTATGATAGACAGTTATGCAATTCGCCTGCACTTAAGGGATTAAACCGTCCCGCATCAAACCACTCAATCAACAATCACAATAGGGAACCATAATAATCTCTACAGATCATATAATTACTGAATAAAACTCTTGTTGTGTACTTGCATTAAATTTTTTATAGCAAAACACATCAAATAAAAACAAAAATCTACAGTATTTACAACAGAGCTATTTCGAACAAAGCTGTTTCGAGTCAAGTTGAAAGAAACTTGTGTCAGGAAACATCAGTCAATGACTTGCGCTCTCAGCATAATTGGGTTGTATAAATGCAGGATGAATAATAGTAATTCAAGTTTGCATTGGTGTTCAGATGTTTAACTTTGCTGTTTATCCTCTAGGCTTTCAGATCTTTTGCAGATGCCTTCACGTCAATTTACATAAACACTCAGTCAGTTGTGTATCACCGTAAGCAACATGTTAGCGAATGTAGGCCCTTTCCCGATTCTAAACACAGCTGTAAACCAAATGCTTGGGCTATTGGCCTAATTCACATGTTCATTCATAATTCTGACCCTAAAAAACAATAACAAACTCTAATAACTCAGCGTCTTTTGTACACTGGGGCGTGTTAAATCTAGAAACCTATGCATTCCTCTGACAACAAATCCTGCGGTTCCCGCCGAAGGGGATGAGTTAGATTAACCAGATGTTTTCTCACAAGGCTTCATCCTGAGGACGCTCTACTTTCGCTTTTAAACAGAGTGGAGTGCCACTCACTCATCTCCATGTATTCAGGTGTGAGTCCGTCAAAAGGCTCCAGGTCATAGTCCAGGTGCCACTGCTGGCGGCGACCCGGCTGCTCCACAATCTCCTTGGGTGCCCGCTCTTTGTCCTTGAGTGTGCGGCACAGCTTCTTCAGCTTTCTAAAGCGGGAAATGAGAGGGAGAAAGAGAGCGAGACAGAATGTAAACACAAACCATTGCTATAAACTTGGCCTTGCAGCTAAAATGACCCAGATTTGATAATGAGTCAAATGTCAGGTTTGTTTCTAAGAACTGCATATGAATTTTATGCAGACATATCGTGTGCTTTGTTTATATTTACATAACTATTACTATTGCTTATATACTGTACATAGAGTTGGCGGGTTTTCAAATGCAAACGACTGCACACACAAACACATATATAAATTTTAATTACGTGTGTGTGTGATTTATATATGTATATGTATTTATAATTTATATATGTATATGTATATATATATATAAATATATATATATATATATATATATTTATAATTTTTGAAAAAGAAGCAGAAGACAATAAGACAAATCGAAAGAGATACAAATTAAACTAATTTTTCAGATACAGTAGGTATTCATAACATTTATTTAACATCTTTTGTAGGTTAACATTAATGACACGGATAGGTACTTAATTATGAATGCTGTCCCTTTAAGACGGAAGGCATGCATGGAATACTGACACATGCATTTTTCTGTTTTTTTTTTTACAGTCTATGGTTTTCACCCACCTGTTTACATTCACTTCATCCATAACCGACTGTATTTATGTGAGATACTCTACACCAGCGGTTCTCAATTCCAGTCCTCGCGTACCCCCGCTCTGCACATTTTGTATGTTTCTCTTATTGCTTCAGACGTTTGTTATATTTGACTGTAAGTGCCCTGCGAAGTGGACATTACCGGATATTCCTGCATGATTCTAGTTTGAAGGGAGCGTATATGTTCCATACAAAGGGCATTTAAGTGTGCCAGATGTGAATTTAAATTGTATTTATTTACTGAGGTATATTATGTCCCACTTCACGCTTCTCTAGTAAGTTTCGTATGTGTGTGAAGACGCTGCAGGCAGTGAAGTAAAAGTGAAGTAAACTTCAACAGATGTCTCCTGCTCAGGGAGTAGGGAGCAATGGACACTGTGTAGGGACCATGTCAATCGAATTTTTTACTCATCACTGTCTTGTTTTAGTCACAGAAAATTTTTTTGTTAACGAATATTTTTCATCATCATCTTCATTGACTAAATTAAAACTGCAATGAACTGGCTTTTCGATGAAAAATGACTCTGCCAACCAAAGTACTCCCAAAGCACTTAATGATTACTGGTGTTAGTGTAACCGGTCTGCAATCGCTCAGAGTTATTGGTGGCTGCTTCTATAGGAACAGGGATGATGGTAGCAGATTTTAAGCAGGGTGGGATGATGGCTGATGTCAGTGAGAGGCTGAAGATCTTTGTGAAGACCCCGGGGAGCTGGTTGTACAAGGAGCTCCATGTACAAAAGAATGACCTGTCATTCAGCCAGCCATTTGGAAGAGGTTAATGTCAGGTAGTACAACATATGCAGAAGGGATACAGAGTTCCCTTTCAGTCGGTCACTACGAGTCACGTCATGACCGACGAAGTGGGACCTTGCTTTGAGAGACGAGTGTAAACTAAATGAGCCAATGGACATTGGCATGCGATGATTACATCCAGCTGCCGCTAATCACAGCGTGAGCATAAAAAGGCAGCCGGTGCAACGCATTCCAGCTTTTCGCTTCGGAGCTGAGCGATACCATCGTTCTGCTCCTACCAATATCTTTGTGTGACAACAAGTTCAACGCGCTCTAGGGAGCTTTTTGTGTTGGTGGATGGCACTTCAGCGGTGGTCGTTCCTGTGTCGAGTGGGTTGCGCACTTTAGGCTGCACTACTCCCTGTCGTGCAGCAAGCGGCAATCACATGTGAGCATAAAAAGGCAGCCGGTGCAACGCATTCCAGCTTTTCGCTTCGGAGCTGAGCGATACCATCGTTCTGCTCCTACCAATATCTTTGTGTGACAACAAGTTCAACGCGCTCTAGGGAGCTTTTTGTGTTGGTGGATGGCACTTCAGCGGTGGTCGTTCCTGTGTCGAGTGGGTTGCGCACTTTAGGCTGCACTACTCCCTGTCGTGCAGCAAGCGGCCATTTCCCCTCAGCATGTAAAAGAGCATTTCCCTGAAAGAGCCTATTTCTCTAAAAGAGCTTACACGGGTGCGTCTTTGTAAAGAACAGATTGTCTTTTTAAAGATGCCATTTCACCAGTGCGTTTCTAGATGCGGTCGAAGATGACGGATCATCTTTTTAAAGATGCCTTTTCACCCATGCGTTTCTGGATGCGGTCGTTACCTGGCGCCGGGTTCTTGGAATTCCAGGGTAGCCAGGAAACATAGAGGGAGGGGAGAGGCGGGTAGGAACTGAACCAGGCAAAAAGTTCATTCCCAGCCTAGGGGAAACATAACTAGGAATACTAGAAGACTAGACACACTCTTAGGTACAGGAACTGGCTTCACTGCTCTGGACTTCAAATTGGGCTTAGTAAGGGTGACAGAAACAGGGGGGTGACCCAACTGACAGGGAAGCTGTACATCCTAAAGCAGGGGTTGGCAAGTAAGTTTGGCATCGGGCCAAAAAAAAAAACATTTTGCCACTACAGTATATGAAGGGCCAGAACATAGTCAAAAGATACTTTAAGAAATTAATTGATGAAAAATTAAACTAGAATTGCCTGTGAGCTGTTACTCTGTGTTAAATCCTGTAGTAGGACAGTCATTAACAAAAAGCCACATTTGTGTGGCGGTGTCCGGGTTTTACACTGGATAAATTAATAAAGCAGAGTAGTGACACGTAACCTGGCAAGTATCTTCATTCACCAACTTGCAACACAGAATGCCTTGCTAAAACACACATACTGTATGTGGGAGATGCGGAATGGATAAAAATAACTAAAAAAATAAAAGAAGACAAACTATGTTTTATTTCCTCTTTCCATATTGTGAATAATAAATGTGTATCATTTTAATTTGCTTGTTACACAATGGAGCCTAACTTATTATAATAATTATTTGACGTAGCCTACTTTTACACTGAGAATTATTCCTTGGCATCCTCACATACTAAACTGCATTTTTTGTTTAATTGTTTGCATGCTGGAGGTACGATATTTTGTTGTGTGCAGAGTTATGTTAACATTTAAGCTAGCTGGGGAGAGAAAATGGGACTATCAAAGAGTCTTAAGAAGAACGATGATAGCGAAAATAGGGCATACAAAGAAGAATAGAAAGACGACAATGCGTTCATCCTACCTAGCTTTGTGAATGCAAAGCCGGTGTGTTTTATCTGCAACGAAGTTGTCGCTGTTTGCAAAGAATATAATATTAGGCACAGCGAATTAAAAGCTTTTCAAATTAAAAGCTCTCAATTCATCTCAATATAAAACATTGCTGCAAAAAAGTTATCGTACTTTATTTTGAAATCACTAAAGACGAAGCAATTGTGAGTAACTGTTGCTGTCATGACAGATCTATTTCAGAGCCAGCCACTATCAAAATAATCTGGCTGCGGCGCGGGCCAGTTTTGACCACTGTCCTAGAGTCAGGTTTGGAGACTGGTCTTGGAATATCCTTGTGGATAACATGATCAGACTTAATCTCCTCAGGAGTTGGAGCCAACACTGGGCTGGGCTCTGAGGCTGCAGCCGACACTGGGGCGGACTCAGGGACTGGAGCTGGGACTGGAGCGGGTGCGGGCTCGTTGACTGCTCTCTCTGGATCGTGCTTGCCAACAACTTCCTCTATGCTGGGCTCGGGGACTGCTCTCTCTGGAGCGGGCTTGCCAACAACTTCCTCTATGGCGGACTCAGGGACTGCTCTCTCTGGAGCGGACTTGGGAACAACTTCCTCTATGGCAGGCTCGGGAACTGCTCTCTCTGTAGCTGGCTCTGGGTCTGCTCTCTCTGGAGCAAGAGCAGGCTCTTGAACAGTTCTCTCTGCAGCAGGCTCAGGAAGCGCCCTATATGGAGTGGATTTAGAAACAGCCTCTTCTGGAGCGGACTCTGGGGACCTTCAGGAACTTCATACTTGGTGGCCAAAGTAAGGGTGGCGAGAATCTTTCGTATGGACTTGATTAGGCTGGCAAGAGATTCAGAAAAGGCCTCAGCGGCCGTGACAACAGGCTGCTTGGGAACGGCCTCCATGGCTGTGACTGGGAGAGCTGGGTGCTTTGAGATGGCCTCCGTGGCCATAACGGGCTGAATGAGAGCCACTTGAATGGCCTCCATGACCAAAACACTGAGAGCAGGCCGCTCAGGAACAGCCTCTGGAGGCACAACAGGGACAGCAGGAAACTCTGAGATGCCTCCTTGACCATAACGGGCTGAAGGAGAGCTGCTGGAATGGCCTTTGTGGCCAATACAGTGAGAGTGGGCTGTTCAGGAAGGGCCTCTGTGGACATGACTTGACTAACAGGATCATCTGTTGACTTCACATGACTTGCAGGAACAGCATCTGTAGAGGCAACTGGGGAAGCAAGCAGCTTGGAAATGGCCTGCGTGGCTGGAACAGGCAAAATGAACGCCTCTGCCTCAGCCTCCGTGGCCATGACAGGAGAAGCAGCCAGCTTAGGAAGTGCCTCTGTGGACATGACATAACAGGCAGGAACACATTCTGTGGACAAGACAGGATTCATAAGTATGGCTTCAGTGGATATAACAGGAAGGGCATTAGACTACACAGCACGGGCTGTTCTCCTCCTCTTCCGGCGGATTGTGGCTGCGTGCTTGACCGCCTCTGTAGTATCTGTAGTTAACTCGGCCAACACAGGCGGAGAGGCAGTGATCTTGGTCATCTCAGCAGAGACAGGAATTGGCCCGGCAGATGGTGACAAATCGGGAACAGACCTTATAGACTGCGGGACAACATTTGACTTGACTGATTCTTGAATAACAGGAGCGCACTCAGTTAAATATGTGGATGACTTAGCAGACTCAGAAATGCCTGGTGCAAACTTCATTGACTGAGTGATGACTGTGGTTGACAACTTGCTCCTGGATAATGGTAGTGAAGGTGACTGATTCAGGGATGACAGAAGTTGACTCTAACTTAGAATTTACTGGAACTGACTGGATAGCGGCCAACTCGGCCATCTTGGAAATGACAGGAGCAGGGTTGACTGGCTCTGGAATGACAGGACAGGTTTAACTGGGTCAAGAATGACTGGATCAGGCTTGACTGGCTCTGGAGTGACTGGAGTGGACTTGACTGGCGTGGACTTGACTGGGTCAAGAATGACTGGATCAGGCTTGACTGGCTCTGGAGTGACTGGAATGGGCTTGACTGGCTCCGGAGTGACTGGAGTGGGCTTGACTGGAATAGAGATATCAGCAGCGCTCGTAACTATCTCTGGGAAAGCTGAGGTTGATTCAACAGACTCAAAAATAACTGGGACTGACTTGTATGTCTGGGTAGGATGACATCAGTTGACTTGACTGTTTCATGGGAAACATGAGCGATCTCAGTAGACACAGGGGTGACTGGGAAGGTATCGGAGTCATAAATGGATGCAGCAGACTCTAGTGCCCTCTTCTTTCTTGCCCGTTGCTTCTGAGTAGGAGTCAGAAGAGGATCTAAGTCTTGACTTGACAAGGGAAGTGGGGCAGTGTGGTCGCTGCATGCTGGCTGAGGTGATGGAGGCATTCCCCACTGGATGTGATGACCAAGATACCTGGAAAAGTCTAATTTTGAGGTTATCCATCTCCCAATTAGGCACAGGATCGTCCAAGCAGGCATTGAAAATGTCCTTGAGGGTGGAATCATCATAATCAAGCCCCCTTGACATCGTCCAGAAAAACTGGATAAATGTGCCTATCTCCCAGCCCTGTTGGCGAAGGTTAGCCAGACCTTGATGGCAAGCCAGTCTCTCCCTGGAATTACCAGGTGGCTGAACAAGAGGTGACTTTCCCATTCATGTGTCCAAACATTTGACTGGTACTATATATAGAATACAGTATATACATAAACAGAATATATATATATATAAACACATTGTTTGCAATGATCACTCAAATGTGGTGATCAAACACTTATAACGATGTGACAAAGATATGTAATGTAATGGAGGCAGGGCGTTTAACAAAATGAGTCTGACATCAGTGCACTGAACAGTAAAGTTGAAGTTTATTCAACTTTAATTAAATTCCATTCAGCTTTTTTCCGTTGAAGTTTATTTCACTTTTAAACATTCATTCACGGATTTGCGCTACTGTCTTCACACACAGACTAAACTTACTATAGAAGTGTGAAGTGTGACAATTTACCTCTGTAAATAAACACTTCAATGCCCTTTGAATGTAACGTGTACGTTCCCTTGGAACTGGAATCATGGCGGAATATCATGTGAAGTCCAGTACAGTCGAATAAGACAACGCTTGAATGCTACTGCCTGAACAAGAGACCTCCTTACTAAAGTGAAAGTGTTGGCTGGTGTCAGAGGAGCCCTCTCGAACGCCACCCTCCACATGTCGGTAGCCCCCCGGGATTGCTACATTGGTCGGCGCCAGACCGCAAATTTAACTGCCCGTAACTCCCGAACCCCAGGGGCTATCGACACGGGGGTGGTCTCATTCGAAAGAGGGCCTC